CCTACGTTTTAGAGGGTGTATACGCACAGCCAAATACTAAATATACAGCACACGGTGTGCCTGGCCACTCACTCACATGGTCTCAATCAGACGTTCGCGACTCGACGGGTAGCCCGTGCGGACCGTCGCGGGCGGCGCCGGGAAGACGTCGGTCGTCGCCTCCCCGGCCAGGGTTGGACCTGGGGTCGGCTCACTCAGACGTGCCGAATCCCCCGCAGGGGCCGGCTCGGGCGGGGGCGGCGGGCCCGCCGCGGCCGCCGGCGCCGGGGGCGCGGCTGCTGGCAGCTGCGAGAGCTCGGCCGCGTGGGGCCGGCTGGGAGCGTACCGCTGGCGGATGTGATGCCGGTTCCGTGTCAACACCCGGCCGCTGTGCAGGCGGATGAAGTAACGGCGGTGAGGGCCGATCTCCGCAGTGATGCCATACCGGTTCCAGCGGCCAGTAGCTGGATTTTGGAGGGCGACTGGAGTCCCCGTCCGGAGGACTGGCAGGTCCCGCGCGTGGAAGTTGTACTGCGCGTCGATGTCTTTTTGTCGCGCGGCCGCGGCCGCGGCGCGCTCGGCGTCATTTGCTTCTTGCTGCCAGCGCGGCGCGAACGCCCGCCGCTGAGCCGGCACCATGTCCCGCACGGGGCGTGGAAGAGGATCTGAGCCGGTGATCGGCCGTCCGGGCCGGGTGTGTCATGCCTCGCACCCAGGCGTCGTCGTCCACGTGATTTTGTTGCCAGCATCGGCGGATGATTTTGGCAGCGTATTTTACCGCTGCTTCGGCGCGGCCATTTGGCTGCGGGTGATGTGGCAAAGACGTCTTATGTGTCACTGCCCATTTGGATAGAAATGCTTTAAGTGCCTTTGATGTGAATTGAGGGCCGCCGTGCGACCACAGGAGCTCCGGCACCCCAGCCGCGCAAAAGATGGCACGGAACTCTCTGGTGAGGTCGGCGGCGGTGGCGTGGCGGCCGAGCGGGCTAACAATCAGCCAGCCAGAGATTGGGTCGACCGCGACCAGGAAGTGGCGCCCGGCATACTCGCAGAAGTCTGCGCAGAGGTGCTGGAACGGCCGGCTGGCTGGTTCGTGATGCCGGATCGTTTCACTTTGTTGGGCCGGCAGCTCTCGTTGGCATTGCTGACATGCCTTGGTTATGTTGTCGATGTCGTTGGACATCCCAGGCCAAAATACTAGCTGGCGGGCCCGACTTTTTGTCTTTTCTTTGCCCATGTGTCCGGCGTGGAGCTCCCGGAGCACGGCGGGTCGCATTGGCCGAGGGATCACGAGGCGGCACCCGTGAAGCACCAGACCGTCTTCAACTGTCAGTTTGTTGTGCACTGCCCAGCAGGGGCGAATTTGGTACGGGAAGTCGGCTTTTTAATGAGGGAAGCCGTTCGTGACTGCCTCGAGTAGGAGCTGGGCTTTTTCGTCGCCATCTGCCGCCTCCAGCACGTCCCGTAGTCGGAGGTCGAGGTGCGACGCGTCGATCGCCCGCGCAGCGACGGTGGCCACGGTAGGAGCGGTGTCGGTCGGCCGCCAGGTGGATTTTGCCTCGACACCACGACGCAGTCATGTTGACGTCGGATATTTTTTCGCGCAGTCTTTGAAGTCGCGGGTTCTCGATTACGTTGAGGTTTTTGTTGTTGATGATGGGCACGAGAGGGCGGTGATCAACGACAAGGTCCAGGTGCGGAAGGCCAGAGACGAAAAGTCGGCACTTTTTTACCGCCCAGGCGACTGTCAGCAGTTCTAGTTCTATTGTAGCATACCGGGATTCGGTGTCGGTGAGGAAGCGCGACCCGGCCTGCACTGGTTTCCAGGTACCGTCCGGCTGTTTTTGTTGCAGCAGAAACCCGAGCCTCTGGATACGGCTGGCCTCCGTAGACAGCCTCGTCGGCCTTGTTGAGTCGAAGTACGCTGAAGTGCGGACGGACGACAGCAGGACTGGAGAGAGCAGCACCGGTCGGGCGGTGTCGTCCGCTGAGGACGGGCGGGACGGCCCGTCTCCGCCGTCTCCGTCGTCGGAGGTCGGCCGTCCGACGGTCCCTCCCCCGGCCGGGTGCTCGCGGCGACCCGTCTCGTCTCCGGTGTCGGTAAGGGAGGGCTGGCTGCTGCGCGGCGCGCGCGTCTCAGCCGCGGCTGGGTTGGGCGGCGGCGGCTGACTAGCGGCTGCGCCGGGCGGTCCGGCACCCCGACTGACTGCATGTATCTGCCGTGGGTAATTGGCCGGTACAATACGAAGTCGGACGGCAGTGCGCCACGAGAGGAAGAGTCGTGGGATGATATGCACCGTGCCAGACGCCGTTACGTCACCCAGGGTGATTCGGACGGGCAGATTCCCGCGCGAGCGCGTCACGTGTCCGTCCACAGCGCGGGGATGGGTCGACGGCGGCTGAAGGTTATCGTTCATCTCGTCGATGAGTTCGACAAAGTCTAACCCAGCGACTGACACGTCGGCTCCGGTGTCCGGAAGCGCCGTCATCTTGGCCGTCTTACGACCTAACAGTCGGTACGGATCCCATCGATGCGGTCGCGGGCGTAACCGCAGAGGCAGATGTGTCATGTGACTGGCGCGCGCTGCGGCACATCCTGGAGATGTGACCCGTTCTGCCGCAGTTGTATCACGCTCGACCCGCAGCCATGCAGCGGTCAGATCGTGCACGACGGGTGCCGCAGTTTCTGCAGACCGGGCGCGCGGAGTCCATTTCTTGCTCGGAGGCGCCCCCACACGGCGCTCGGCGGGGAGGGGTGGGGCTCCGCGACTGGAACCTGACACCGCGCGGAGTCCTGGGGTCCGAAGGGCGGCCGGCGCGCCGGCCGACCGGGGCGCGGCACGCTGACACGGCGTCGGCCTCGCCGCCGACGATCTCCGTGACGCCACGCGTCGCAGCCTCCTCGGAGCGACAGATCCGGATCGCCTGCTCCAATGACGGGAGTGGGACGGCGCACAATCGTTTTGATTGTCGCCGGGTCCCGCGGGCCCACGAATATACGGTCCCTGGTCAGGCTGTCACGGCAGGCATCGCAGAATCCGCACTCACGGCTGAGGTCGCGGAGGCGAGTGGAGAAGTCATTAAATGACTCGCCCTCCTGCTGGGTGCACATATTGCATGTGCACCTCTGAATGACCTCGTTGACCTGACCGCGGGCGTAGCCGTCCAGCTGCGAAAGGACGACGGAGAGGTCCGATCACTGGGAAGCAGGGATGTCGAAATTGGCCGCGACTGTCAGGACCTCGTCCGAGAAACACGACCGGAGAATCGCCAGCTGCAGGGCTGGCGGCCTGCTGCTCAAGTCCGACAACATCGCGTAGTCGTCCCATCTCTGTCGCCACATGCGGTACGTCACTCCGCGGTCACCGGTCAGCTCCAATCGTTCCGGTTTGGCATCTTTTTGCCATCGAGTCTGGCACGAGTCGCGTTCCCCGGGGCACGGCACTAGTCACAGGGTCGCCCATGTTGTCCGGCAGGGGAACCGAGGCGGGATCAATTCCCACCGATCCTGTCGGCTGCGCCATGTTCGACTCTGTCTCCGCGAATGTGCACACGAATCGGCGGTCGGAACTGGACTGTGTTTCTGTACTTCGCGAGACGCTCTGCCATCTACCGTTCGGTCTAGATACTATTATTCGCGCGCTATACTCGGTACTCGCACACAGATCGGTTGAGCGGTTTCCGAATTTGGACTTGGCTGCAGCGCCCTAAAGGGGTTTATGCGGTTTTTGAAGGTAGAGGTAGTGACTTGGGGTCACCAGTTTCAAAACAGGCGATGAAATCACATGCGTTCTATTTTCTGGTAAAGGTTTAAGCAGATCGGTTGGGCGGTTTCCGAGTTTACACTTGGCTGCAGTGTCTTTCAGTGGTTTAGGCAGTTTTTGAAGGTAAAGATGGTGACCTGAGGTCACCAGTTTTAAAACGGCTGATGAGATTGTATCCTCTTTATCTTCTGGTTAAGGTTTGAACCAGATCGGTTGAACGGTTTCCGGGTTTGGACTTGGCTGCAGTGCCCATAGTGGTTTATACGGTTTTAGAAAGTGAAGATGGTGACCTGATGTCATCAGTCTCATCACGGCTTGTGAAATCGCATGCGCTCTATCTTCTGTTAAAGTTTAAAGCAGATCGGTCGAGCAGTTTCCAAGTTTGGACTTGGCTGCAATGCTCTAAAGTGGTTTGTGCGGTTTTTTAAGGCAAAGATGGTGACCTGGGGTTATCAGTTTCAGAACGACGGACGAAACCGCATAGTAGCTTTCGATTGGTGCTGGTTTGAAGAAAATCTGACCAATAGTTGCGTAGTTTGAAGTTGGTTGCATGGCTGGCGGTGAAGCAGTGTTGTCCGGGACGACAGGGGGCTGGTCGGCATCACCGGGTCGGTCCGTCGTGCTGGGTGTAATGCCGCGGAGCCAGCGCTGGTTACTTAGGCATGAGGCTTTGCTCAACCACCAGCCACCGGGCTGTCCAACAAAAATTGCAGTTGATAAACAAAATAGCGCTGTTCGGCACGACTCCGATCCGAAAAACATTACGATGAAAATGCCTGTCCGGTAGCAATTAACATTCTGACCCATAACGCGAGCTATAGCAGTCGTACTAATCGATTTTGTCTGCAGACTCATCGGCGCTAATCGGCCTGCTTCGCTTGACTGAGGGCGCAAACTTCTCCGTTTTATGAATTTCTGTTTCGAACCTCATAAAATGACTGCGTTCGCACATGTTGGCAAGCTGAGCTTGAAGCCAGACGACAATCACATCACAAATGCATGGCCTGTAAAAACAATTATTCCATTGGCCTCAATATATTGGGTACAAATCGCGACAATGATTATTTCATCAGCTAAATGGCCAACTAAACCACAACACAACACGGCGCGGGGATATCTGCGAGACGAACTCATGAACACATCGCACATCCCACCACGCACCGTCGATGAGACGCCAGCACCTCGCCCACTCGGGACCCCCAGGTCCCAGGCCACGCCGTGGCCGGGCCTGCCTGAGGAGGTGGGCGGCCTGCCGCCTCATATCGTCAGGTTGGGCCGGATCCGGACCGAGTCGCCGGCGGCGCCTGGGTCGCGCAGCCGCGTCAGGCCGTCCAGGTTCTCCTTGTCGCTAGCGTGCCACTCCTCGCCGTCAAGCCTGCCGCGCAGGCCGTCGGCCGGCAGCCGGTGCAGCGCCACGCGCGGCCACAGCGCGTCGCCGGCCGGCAGCCACGCGCGCGCCGCCTTGGGCGCCGGCTTCCAGTCGTCGTCCGCGCGCAGCCGGTGGCGGCGGCGACGGCCGGCGGGCACGACCTCGTCCGGCGCCGCCTCGCCGTCCAAGCCCGAGTTGAGCGCGATGTAGTCGACCTTACGGCGGCGGCGGCCCGACGCTGGCTCGGGCGTCGGCTCGGCGTCGGGCGCCGCCAGTCGCGCTGCCGAGCCGGCCGACGCCGATGACGACGCGTCCGAGCGGTTGAAGCCCGAATCGACGCTGTCCTCGCCGTCGCACAGCTCGATGAGTGGCTCGTCGTCGGGCGCCGGCCGCCAGCCGATGCGCAGCAAGGCAGCGCGCTCCGGAGGCGTCAGCTCCAGCTCCAGCTCCAGTCGGTCGTCGAAGTCGGACAGATCAGCCGTATCCACCGAGCTGATTGACAGCGTGTCCGGCTCCGCCAACGCGCGTCGTAGCTGCCGCACCGCCGGCCGCCGTGATGGCGACACCGGCCGCTCGCGCTCGCCGTGGTACGCGTGCCGCCGCGCCGGCTTGGCCGCCGCGCGCCGGAACCGATCGCGCAGGTGCGGCGCATACTTATCCATCAGCAGCGCCATGCGGTCCTTGGCGTCCGGGCCGGGCAGCGCGGCGGTTGAGACGGCAGATGAATCGGGTTTAGTCGCGGGGAGGGTGCGAATGACAGGTGAAGATGCAGATTTGGCGTGGGATGAAGATTTTGTGCCAGATGATGATGGCGTGGACTTAATGCATGAAAACTTGATGGTGAGACTTGGTACGGCGCTGTTTGCGTGGGGCTTTTCGACAGATGACACAGTCGCTTTCCCTGACTGCGACTGCTCTCGGTCGGTAGATGTTTTCGTGCGATGTTTTGGTTTTGATAACTCGGACTTCTTTGAAGAGGATGACCCAATGCCAGATGACGATGACAGTTTGCTTGAAGCAGCTGGCTTTTCTGCAAGCACCGATTTATTGCTAGAATGTGACTCCTTGTTGCTCATCGGACGATCCATCTTGATAGACATTAATGGCCTGTTCAATGACGATGATGATGTGGACGGCTTGTCCAAAGACGATCTAAGCCTACTGGAGGATGACGTCCTACTTTCAGACGTTAATCCAGACTTTTTAGATAGTGGCGGCCTCCTTTCCACCGCCTCCCGGTCGGAGGAGGGTTTACCGTCTTCTGAAGCCTTGGTGTCGCTGGATGAGGTCGAATTCCCAGACGACCTCTTCCGTGCCAACGACGATGTGCTCGCGCCCACAGAGTCCCTCTTGCCCAACGGCTCCTCACCCTTCCCTACCGTCGCCCTACACTTCGTGACCATCTTCACCCCCGCCTTCGCCTTCGCTTTCTCCTCCGTCTTGATCTCCACCTTGACCTCCGCCCTGACCTCCGGCTTGACCTCCGTCTGGGCCTCGTTCTCGACCTCCACGGCCAGTGTGTCATCGTGCAGCGCATCTCCCTCCCCGGCCACTCGCTCGTTCCTGCTGCTGCCGTAACTGTGGTGGCGTTGGCCAGATCCGCCCGAGCCGCCGCGCCCCTCCTCCCGGCCCTGGCCGCGGCAATAGTGGCCGCGGCCGCCGCCGCTACGGCCCGCCGGCGCCCGGTGGTCGGCCGCGCCATCGTCGTCGCGGTCACGCCGCTGGTAGTGCCGACCGCGCTCGCGTTGCTGTTCGTGATCGTCACGCTCGCGATCGCGTCGGTCCCGGTCCCGATCGCGGTCACGGTCCCGATCCCGGTTCCGATTCCGATCACGGTCCCGATCCCGATCCCGGTCCCGGTCTCGGTCGCGTTCACGGTCCCGGTCTCGCTCTCGCTCCCGATCGCGGTCCCGCTCGCGCCGATGCCGGTCGTCGTCGTGGCGGTCGCGGTCGCGGTCGCGACGCGCACGGTCGCGGTCGCGGTCGCGGTCGCAGCGGCGGCGCGCGTCGTCGGGCGAGTGGCGGCCGCGGTCGGACTCGTCGCGCGGCGGCCGCGGCGCGCCGCGGCTGTGCCGGTGGCCGGGCAGCTCGACGGCGCGCCGTGTCGCACCGTCCTGGCTCTCCTCCGTGTCCTCCGGCGGGCCGACGAAGCTGTGCAGGTCGAGCGGCGGCCGCGCGTTGGCCGCCTCGCCGTCGTCCAGCGACATGTTGGAGTTGTTGGAGCTGCTGCGCTTGCTCAGCTCGCTCTCCTTGACCTCTGTCTCCAGCTCCAGCTTGATCATCTGATCGATGGCCGGGTCGATGCGGTCGACGCGGTGCATGATACCGCTGAAGTCGAGGCCGTCGGCCTTGCCCAGAAATGAGCCCCAGCCCTGCTTGCCGTCGTCGGAGAGGGGGCTCATCTGGGCGCGAATGTCAGGACTGTCGGCCTCACTCGGTGAGTGCGCCGACTCGTTGGACACCGATGAGATGGACATAGAGCTGTCGCCAGCGCCGCCTGCCCGCTCCGGGCGCGGATCGGGCGCGCGCGCGTGGAACTGGTTGGCCCACGTGCCGAACGTGTTGCCGTCAGCCAGCGGCACTGCCACGTCCTCCATCTCTACGTCGTCGTCGACTTTCTCTGTGGAGGGGCGGAAAGGGTATGTGAACCACGTGAAGCGAGAGAGAACGGATACTGGTTCAGGCCGCCTCGTGACATCTGCGGAGGGTGGTAAGCGCGATGTTCGAACAGTCGAATCTCCCACATCCCGCTGGTATGGAGCTGGCGTTGAAACGATTGCCGGGCCGGACAAAACAGTGGGAATGAGGATGCCGTCACTTCATCGTTAGCCAGGGGGCAGCTCTGGCATGTTGCCGCTGTCGCTCCTTAAACGTCTGCATGCCTTTCCACACCAACCGGCCCTCCGGGCGCACCAGCGAACATCGTCACGTCTAGGGGCTCTTACAGAAGCAAACAAATCCAGTGTCTGACAAGAACACTTGTTTAAGACATCAGCATCGAAATACGCAAAGGCGCATGCACGAACAGCGGCACAATGTTCGAACAAACATTGTGACCCAAGACTTGTTGGCGGATTGGAAAAATGTATCACCTTTTTCGTCCTTGACATCGAGAGTTTCATTGACCAGCTGGTGGATCTGCGGCATGTAGGTGCTGTAGATGTTTCTGTCGACCACCTGGTCTACAATGCGATCCACGCCGATCTCCAGAAACCGAGACCTGTCGACAAGGGATTTCCACCTTACATTCGGCTTCAACGGAGAGGCATGGCGCCCGCCGCCGACTCCCATGAGGCTCGTTTCGAGCCTTTGGTCCTTAGTCAGCGGCGGATGCAAGCGTTTTCTATTTCCATCAAAAACACATTGTCACGGTCATCAAGCATGCCATTGTCTAACGCCACACAGTGCGGCAATGTAGCTCGAATTTCTTCATTACCATCGCTGGAAAGCCGGGAGACTTCCGTGGACAGTGTACCCATATGAGCACCTGACCACTAAAGAGAAAACAGTTTTGCGAAACAAAAAAACTTTCAGCTAAAATCTATGCCAGCTAACGAGGCGATTTGGAAGATATAAAGGACGTTAAGGACGAAAAGTGGCTTCATGGGCATTTTGCATGCTGAAACATCATATGGTGCAAGGGGCCAAAAATTAATTAGCAAATTTGCCAAATGGACAAGCTGCCTTTTGCGAGAAAAAACCGCGATGCATTGCATACCACTGGGCTGCATAGTGCTGACTCACTCTGTGAGGTGCTTTCGCAGCCTTTCCCGTAACTGGTTCCGGTTCATGCCGGGCGTCCATTTCTGCTTGCCCAGGAACGTGGTGACAGTATTCTCAACACGCTGTCGCAGGTTCTGGTATGCAGGCTGAAGCATACATAAGCCGGTGTTTGGCATCAGAGACAATGATGCAAACTATGCAATTATTTGAAGAAATCATTTGTGACTGGCAACATTTATGTGGCCTACTCAATCTCACTTGATCACATGACAAGACAATATGGACTGAATAAATAACAAAGCACATGAACAATTGATGACAAAAATAGTGCTCACATTTACAGAAGATACATACCCTGGTATCAACATCAGCCAGGCAGTCTTTTCGAAACGAGTCAAAAATACCTCTTGACTTCAACTCATTTACAATCTTATCTGTTGTCTCTTCAAGACTTGGGAAATCCATGTGAGGTGGCAATATGTGGGACATCTTGACATTCTGAAAAGCAGTCCGGTAGTTAATCTGACAGAACACTACAGAGGCATCAAGCACCTGCTTTAAGCAGGAAAGTACTTCAGCCTCTTCATTGACATCAGCAATTTTGATGCTGAAGGCACCCAACCTAGGTTGCCTATTCCTAGTATTTCTGGAAGGGCTTAACATTTTTAAGTTGGTAATTGACAACAAATTTATTCATTTTAATTCACAATAATTAATATTGTCATTCACAATCAATTTACATTGGAAGACCTTCTTGTAAGATAGTTTGTTGTCTTGCATGAGGGCCATAAGATGCATAGTGTGTTATAGCATGTTAAAAGCAAACATATACACATACATTCACATGGACATCTCACAGAGTTGTTTTCTGAGAAACTAAGGCCTCAAAATGAAAAAGCACAACTCTGGTCAAAACATTTGGTCTAGTTAAGACAACATGCTTGCTGGTGATGACAAATGCTGACTGCCCCCCCCCCCCAACATTTGTCTGATGTCACTGTGCTCACAATGAGCTGTGACAATTCAGTCAATTGGTGGAATGGATCAGATCACTAGGAAACTGATGACAACTGCTCTTAATAAATAGTTTTCAATACTTTGTCTTCAATTCAGACCCATCCAAGGTTTGTTCTCATGCCATCTTAAAAGGTAGCAGGTTGAGGGAGTCCTACTTGATTTCAAAGCAAATTCCTTTCCCAAAGAAATCTGTGCATGTGAATTCCACCTGTGGATGCAGTTATGGTATCAGTGTTGGAAAAATTGCCATCTCCTGGTATAATGTATACCAGGAAATTTGGTACTCCAGCATTGTGACTAGGTAAAATGAAATATTTTGTACTCCACTCTGATGAAAAACACAGGCTTTGGAAAAACTAATTTTACCTCTGTTTCAGGCAAAATGAAATCAGTAGATGCAACAGCTTGAGACCTGCTGACTCCATCATGAGCCATATATTGATATCTGCAAGACCACAAATCCTGCATCCACCAGACTTGGAACAGGCTGTGCTGTGACCTAGCTATACAATAGATTATGCATGTGAATGTGGGAAATAAAGTGCGGGAATGATAAATGGAATCGTCTTTGAATGCCAGGAAGTCAAAAACTAGAAGAGAAATCGCACCGGTCTGCCAGTTAGCAAAGATCTCACTTTGTACGCCTTACTCAGCCCTTCTCAAAATCGAATACCAATTCACCTCCCTCAACGACGAACCGCACCGATGGCCAATGGTGCAGCGTACCGCGACAAACAACCGTAAACACAATACCTTACCGCGTACAACCACCTCACGCTCCGCCTCGATGTCCGCTCCTAATTCAGCGTCGCAAACGTCTCACTTATTCAGTGGCTTATGCTCACCTAGTTCAGGATGCAGCCTGGACATCGCATAACTCTCCAATTGGTTGATAGGAAACGCCCTCTCGTAACTGATTTGTCAACAGCTTACATTTTGTGCTCGCAACCGCGTCTTGAACAGATACCACAGCGTTACGAAGTAAGCTGTATAGAGATGGGCAAATGTAGAGTGGCACTTCTTAGGGCTCTTGCAGAAAAATGGTACTTGTCCAGGAGCGCCATATGGTTGGATTTCTTGGCACTTCCTGGTATCCGGAGTACAAAACTGTAAAGGTACCTGTACAGTTAAATAATGTTATTTTTACCATTTAAGGGTATCAAATTAAAGCTGATAATTTGAGCTTAACTGAGAAATCCTCTTAGGTCGAAAAATATTGATATAACTAAGAAAAAACCTGCTCGGAGGCTGCCATCTCACTCCGACAAAAACACCAGGAGAATTGAGAGGCATGAGTCCATTTCTTTGGCCTCGCAAGCTGATATAACGCATCTATCAAGACAAAAACACAAATTAATTGAAACATACACTAATTTTGTTTGCAATGATGTCGGTTAAAGCGCACCGGAGGCTATCAATACCTTGTAATATCCGCCGGAGTCAGCGGAGTGCTAAGCTCGGAGGCCATTTCGCCGGCCCGGCGGGAGCGTCAGGCATTGTACTCGCGCTGTGTTGGTAAACCGGTTAAGAGTATTGCCGTCTCTATTGGCTTGCTGAGGCCTGCGGACCCGCGTGGGTCGTAGAATCCGACGAAGGCGAAGTGGGGGACGGGGAGAAGTGGGGGCATCAATCCTTCACATCATTTCACCACATAACTTCGATCTGGTTGCTTGACCAGGTGTGATTTAAGGTGCGTACTTGATATTGAGAGCCACGTGATGCTATGGGCAGTTTTTATTGCCAACGAGGCCATGCTTGTGTGTATTTCTTTGTTTCTTTGTGTCCGCTCCCATGGAGAGAAAATCAAATTTCAGTAACAATGATGCTTCAAACGATCCACAATCTTAGAGGGAAGGGTGGTCCGAGTGGATAAGTATAGCCTTGTTCATGGGCTTACTGTTAACATTGAAAGTGTGTTGGCACAATACATCACATGTGTGTGATGATAGTTTTCCCTTCCCCAGGACTACATGAAGGCTTGCCCAATGACTAAGACTTGCTGGATGATGTGCTTAACAACATGTCTCTAGGTACGGTCAAGGCCCTGTAACCACAGTACAGTTCTGGATGCATGAGAGTGCAGAGGAAGCAGGCCTTTTTCATTCTGTTTATGACATCAATCATTGGAATATATCATGTTCTGTGTGTGGAAATTCATGTGCAGGGATACCATGAATATCTTAAGGAGGTACTCTGCTCAACTTAGACCTGAAAGTTACTGTGCTTTAGTTGTTATCATTGACTTGGCTGCTTATCGCTATTTCAGTCTCTGATTTTTGCATTCTCACAAAACGCAAGTTGTAATATATAAAAACTACTGGCTCCATGTCCATAAAAACTACTTAAGGCCCTTCTTGCTGAAGTGAACCATTCATGACATAAATTTAGGAGTCATTATATTAACCTGGTTTTAAATGTGCAGCAAATCAACATTTTTGTGCCAACCCCTTGTTACAGACAGGCATTTGTAATCATTGGTTATAAGTATTATGCATCTCACAAGTGCTTGTTTTATGTGTAATGCATGCTTTTGGTGTTCGGGGTGTGGTTTTCTCACCGGCATTGCTAAGCGTGATGGGAATGCTCGGTACTAAGCAAGAATGGTGATCCTTCATGTGCTGTGAAATTGCTGGAAGCTGGTGGAAGTTGGGGCACCACGCTGCTTTGCTGCCCTGCATGGTTCTGTGATGGTGTAAACAATGCTTTTTCATCATCTGGCCACATTCTTGTGGACATAATTTTTTGTTGTTGATTGGGTTATTCATGTCAAGCACTGTGAGTCTTGCAAAAGCTCTTATGTCAGGTTGATGCTGAACTTGTGCAGCACAATGAACTAATAAGCTGAGACATGCTTGATTAATTATAACAAAAGCCAGTTAGCTACATACCAGGTGTAAAACTTCCATCTCACCCAGCAGTAAATCTGATGCATCTGTGTTTGAATCCCAGCATAAAATAACCATTAATTTGAGTGGTATTGGAATGGTGTGCCACTGGTAAAAGTATAAGTAAAAAGTGGAATAGTAAAAGTAAAAGTAAAATTGGCTGTGGTATAGCCATCAGGTTTCCACCTGTTTTCCACTAGCACAATGGTTTGTAGCATGCCCACACACCTTGGAATAGTCATAGTTTGGTGATAGTTATCCAAACTGTTGTGTCCTAAATTTTGTGTATGTATTTGTTATGCATAATATCTGATAGTTGGCTGTGCATGCTTACATGGTTGGGGTTGCCACAGGAAAAGCAGATGGCTGCTGTTCTTAAATTACTTGTTGGTCCTCTGTTCAGTTTGAGGCAAGGGTATATCAACCTTTTGGCCAAGAAAAGTTGATGGGATCACAGCCCCCTCCACAGCTGCCTCACAAAACATGGCACACAAGTTTACCCTGCAATGTTGATGCTCATGCCTCCATGTCTTTGGCACTTCACCTAAGGGTCCCTCCAGTTCCGGCCGGGTTTCCCAGGGACCCATGCACGTAGCCAGAACTTCCCTCAGGAAGGGGGCAGATGTCAAATTTTGTCCGGACTCCTGCAAATTTGAACTGGATGGATGCAAAGTTGTTCAATATGTAGTGTAAGCCTCTTGGCTTGGGGGTGGGGTGGGGGGCTAGCCCTCGTGACCCACGCCTTAGCTAGGTACCTGCGGCGACCGGGGGTTGGTGCGGCCTGGATGTCGTGCAGAAAGTACCAAATACATCTGCAAATAATGTACTCACATCGCTGGTACGGTGTTACCGTTCTTCACGTAGCTCCATCACATGAGGCAAGCGCTCCAGCGCTTGCTTGTTTAATGGTCGGTGTTTTTTGCAGACAGAGTGGCGATAAATCCATGTTCATATGTTCATTTGATCTTCCACATTGGGTTCGAGGACACTCCAGGCTACATGCTACTGTGTGGTGCGGTGGCAAAATTGATAACGAGAATCACACTAACGTCCAAATAAAAGCGACTTCGCCGCCCCCCCCCCCCCCCGGCCCGCGTAATGTGTAATGCATTGTTTGTACATTCCCACGTAAGGTGTAATGCAGTGTTTGTACATTTCCATGCCATGTGTAATGCATTATTTGTACATTCCCCCATAATGTGTAATGCAGTGTTTGTACATTTCCACGTCATGTGTAATGCGGTGTTTGCACATTAGCATATAGCCCGTTCCTGTTGTGGCCCAGCTGCTATCTGCCGCTGGCGGCCCGCCAGTTTGTGTGCCAAGCTGTTCCTGAGGGCCCACCTGCTGGCTACGTTCCGTGTACGTGTGTTGAACTGTCCGACGTACTTGTGTCGGCACGTTGTGGGTTTCGAGGCCTTGCTTTCGTGAAGCGCGCTTCCTATGCAGAGATGCATGGTAAATACATGGCCATTACATTGTGCTAAGAGTCGATTGTCCACGAACGTGATTGTGGGTGGTTTTGAAGTTGTTTGAAAGCATAACGACTTTTCAGTTTGAGTCACTCATCCTCGATATTTCGGTATTCGCACTGGGAATACGGGGTGGCACTGACAGACTTTTATTGAGATGCTCGTAATTGACTGGCAGCTATTACCATCTTCCATCGAAAACAAAAGGTAGTAACCTGAGGTGCGAATCACACAAGGCAATACAGGAAAAGCAGTAGTCATCAAACACGGAACACGAGCATACCAGCCAAGTGATACAGGTCAAAATCTAGCAGCGCCAGGAGGAGCGCACATGTCGGCACGACGGAGGCTGTACATTCGACAGACGTCGTCTCAGGCGGCGACTGGAAAGCGGCACAGGAAACCGACGGAGGTCGGGTGGCAGCACGATGAACTAGTTCGAATAAGGGCAGCAGAAGCGGCTCCAGCCCATCTCGCGAGGCCGGATAACATACAGCTGGCGGTTGGTCCGGTCCCGGGTCTCCGACACGGTATTAAGACGTCCAGCCAACTCAACTATCTCGCCGCAACGGCGCATCTCGTGCGCGAGATGCAGTGTGTGATACACAGGTAGGGCCTCTGCGCCTAGCTACCCCAGTCTCGTTAGCAGATACGATGCATGGCCGTATTTCTGGGGCCGAACATTACATTCGCTGAGTAGTTCATAACTTTTTCGGCGAGACGGGTTGTTTTTGGTACTCCTACTATATGCTGGTATACAGAAGCGGGTCTGCGAGAAGACGGGGGCGCCAACCGGCTCGGAGGTGGTGGTACGTCTTAGCGCCACACGCCCTGTGAACAAAAGAACATATGGTAACCAGACAGATCAATGAAACTGGCACCAAGAAGATGAGGTAAACGGGTATTCCGAAACTGCTCAGAAGAGCCAAAGAAAAGACATTAGCAAGCATAGTGTGGGATCCCTGGTAATAATGAGATGATGCCGTGCAACAACGGCATGGCTGATCATTACAGTGAAAGTGATGCAGGCTGGTGTGAGTGTAATCACACCCTAAATATTACCCACTGGTTCTGGAGAGAATGTATGGTAAGCACAATCACAAATCACCAACATCTTAATGTCTTGGAAAGTTTGGATTGACATACGGCGGCGACAAGTGATCAAAGCACAGAAGTCTACCCGCAGGTCGTGGGCCTAGAAAATTGTCCGCCTCGGTTGAACACGTGCCTTGCGTTCTGCAAGATCCGAAGGCCGTGTAAGATGCCAAACGAGCGGGCATCGCCCTTAACGCTTTTTTTTCTTCTTTTTGCTGCCGCCTACCGGTCGGTGTCCGGTGGTCATACCGCAGGTAATTATGTGTCTGCTGTGGTGTGCGTAATGTCATTCACTGGGGTTTAGCCATTGGCTGACCACCCTGCCGCAGGTCATTGGATGTCGAATGATGTTAAATGTCAGCCGAGCTTCACAGCGCACAGCATGCGTGCTTAGATATGCACAGGGCGTACCCCTTCAGGGGCATATGCTCTCCCTGACAAAATCATGACATGTTTTAAGATTTGTGTGAACACATGTTAAAAATTAAAAATCTGAGGACAGCAGGTAAAAGCAAACAAATCAAAAACATATGCTCTATGCCATGGAAGGAATGTTGTGCCCTCCTTTACCATAGATTGCCTTTATCCACGGTATGGTAAGCCATTAGCACTCATATATACATACATGCATTTCATGTCATAGAGTTTGGGACTGCACTGTTTCGGTGTATCATGTTTAAACTGATGTCTTCTTTAACTTGCATTCTTTCATGAACTGATGTATATCAAACATGGCCTTCTGTTAAGTACAGCCCATTGCACTGGAGTCTCCCAATGGTAAGCTTAATAACTGTGATGACCCACAGCACTTTAAAAAAATTTGTACTCCGCTACCAGGAACTTTTTTGAAATTTCCAACCCTGTATGGTATACTTGATGTATGCCCATATGTGCAGTGCTTTTCAAGGATATAGATCGCGCCAGAGTATACAAAATGATCACAATCTCACATTTCTATTGTCAATACAGGTGTGTCAACCTCAGTAGCACAGATGGTATAGCTGGTCATTGAATGGCCTAGACGTGAGGGGCATGTTAGCAGATTGGGACAATATTGCTATGGGGAGAGTGGGGAAATAGCATACAAACTGGGGTTGGGGTCAGGCATGGGGGTTAAGGGTTAGGGGTCAGTGTTAAGCATCAGGGCCAAGGGTTAGGGGTTGGGACTGGGCATTGGGGTTAAGGGTTATGGGTTGGGTTTGATGGCAGGGCAGCACAATGGACTGGTAAATGTAGGGATGAGAGTAGGATAGTATGATGAGGTCAGCTTTTTTGGGTCAGGCTGGGTAAGGTTAGGTAAGGTTACATAACATTACATAAGGTTAGGTAAGGCAATGAAGGTTGGATAAGGTACAGCATGGTAAAGCAAGACAAAGAAGAGTTTAGGTTTACATGTGGTATGGTGTAGGTTTGGCTTAGTTTGGTTCAGCATAGTTCAGTTTAGATAAGATAAGTTCAGTTAAGTTAACTTAAGCTGAGATAAGCTTCATTTGGTGTGGTTAGGGTATGTTGCATTGGGCATAACATCACATCAGGTTGTATAACATCATATCAGGTTTGTACTACAGTTAGGTATTAGCTGGCTGCTGCTATTAAATGGTAAATGTCCTGAACACAAAGTGGTTCAAATGGAACATACTGAAGTACATCTGTGTTACTTTAAGTCTGACTTTTGTTTCATTTTATAGTACATCATATATCCTGTTGTATCCTGTATATCCTGTATATGACACACTTGTAGGAAATAGCCATTCAATGCAGTTTTTTACAATGTTGCTGACCCATGGGCAAAGATCACATAATATTGTCAGGAAATGGCTGGTTATGTACATAATACCCTTGCAATTATCATGCCATATCTTGACAAAATGGAACTTTGTAGTGAGCATGACAATTTGTACAATGTCACAAGCAACACATGTATTTTACAATGTGGCTAGTGTATGGTTATGCCAAATAGGAACAAGCCCTTTTACACAATTAGCAGGGCTTACCAAAAACATGCACACATCTTGCATGTTTGTAAAATTGACAGATTAGGAAAAATCACAAAGACAGATGGACAACTCTGGTATTGCCAGGATAGGCTAGGTTAGGTTAGCCCTCAAACGTCATATTTTCCTGAGACAATGATTATGTGCTGAAATTGATGGCAACCATGCGCCGAATACCGAGCACACACCAATCGGATTGAAAGCGTGTATTCCCCAAAATTTTTGGCCCCAATATTGCTTCTAAGCTGGAAAAGAGCAGCGTGATGTGTAAATTTTGGAGTCTGGGTTATATCCCCTACCCCCCCTTCAATTCCTCACCCGCTCGGAGCCTTCCGCGTCAGCGGCGCCCTTAAATGGGGATTCTTCAAATACTTCACCTTTTTTTAGAAGAAGAGAAATCTCCACCACGAGCGTTTCACGCGCAGGACGAAACGGGCACAACCAGCTCGCGTTAGCAGAATTGCCCAACTTTGAAATCATACAACCCAAATGACGTCTTAAGCACCAAAATTTTGCACCGAAACATTCATTCTGTCGTTTCGACCATTGCTATTAACAATACTGACCGAGCCTGACGAGACCGGCACCTACAGGCCTTGTGGCCTTTTACAATTCCCGATCACCATAAGGTAAGGGAAGGTAAGGTAATTGCCTCATTATTTTTGGTGCTAAACACATCATTTGGGTTGTATGAGTTCAAAGTTGGGCAATTCTGCTAACGCGAGCTGGTTGTGCCCGTTTCGTACTGCGTGTAAAATGCTCGCGGAGATTTTTCTTCTAAAAAAGGTGAAGTACTTGAAGAATCTTATATATATATATCATCTGGTTCATGGCTGATACTCAGCAAGGCTCTCGATGGATGACGTCGGTTTTCCTGTTTAGAACTTTCAGTAAGAATTCTTTGCTGATGTGAAGTCTTACGACTTACCCTGCATGGTGTTAATTTTGATACTGACATGACATGTGCGTTTACCTAGGACACACTGTATTTCTTTGTGCTGCCAGTTTATTTTCAGCCCTATGGCTCACTGATGTCACGTGGTTAGAAATCATAAGCTTATGATTCAGGTCATGAAATATATGGCAAATGGGAGCCAGGTCATAAGCCAAAACAGCATTTTTCCTGGTGAGCAGACACAGCACACAACTTCCCCAAAATGATTGCCTCACGAACAGATTCATGATTCAGCTTGAGCTGAACACAGGTGTGGGTGGGAACGCAGGTGGGAACACAGGTGAACACAGGTGAGGAACACGTTTGTATATGTGTGAACAATGCTGAAGTTCAGTAGATGGCTACCTGGTCATGGTGATCACATCAGACAAACTGGTGTTATTTTGACATGTGTCATTAAAATGTTTTGTTATCTCATGCCCAGCATTGCAACCAGACTTGAGTTCATTTGTGAGTTGAAATCCTGGACATTAAATTTTGTGTTTTAGGATGTGCATGCTGGCATATTATATATATATATATATATATATATATATATATATATATATATATATATATATATGTATATATATGGCTGTGTGTATACACCCTCCAAAACGTAGGGCAGTTACGCACCGGGCTTATACACCCTCCAGAACAGAGGGCGGTTACGCACCGGGCTTATACACCCTCCAAAAATCTTTCAGATGGTTGTACGTGTCAAGAATGCGCGCCTTGGCAGCCTTGGAGGCAAGGAAGTGCAAAAATGCAGAGTCCCGTGCGAGAGGCCGGTTCCATGCGTGATAAACATCAAACGATCACTGTGGTATTGTAGCGCAGTGAATTACGGCAGTGTTTCAACATGCTCCGCTGCGCCGTTTGGAAATATAACCCATAACCCACTCACGAGTTGATTGCGACTCGCCAAGCCGCGCGTAGGGGGTTGTGCCTGAAATTATGGTGTGTTTGAGGCTTTTGTGTGTTATGCACGAAAGCTAAAGAAGTGTATTGTACCTGGTACTGTTCTTGTGTGCGGTAGCCGTTTGGTAACCTGATGTTAATTACCCGGTTTACATGGGCAGCCGAGGATAATTCGAATTAAGATCGGAACGGATCATGCGACGTTAACCCTCTCGGCGAGGGGCGTTTACATGGGCGAAACCGGCTTTACGTCGGATTAACGGTCGATAGTTCGATCCCGCTTAGTTCGAACCAAGGAACGGGTTATGGGCGAAAACTGCGCTTTTGAGGCGAACTGAACAAAACAAGAAGAAAAAAGCCGGTACTCTGCGTATGGATGGCGAATGTCACGAGCCATGGTGGGCGCGAGACAGCTTTGAGGGCGAGGAGGAAGATGGACTTCATTGGAAAAATGATCTGTGCGGGACTCACAGGCTTTGTAGCTACAGCACAAGCCATAGCACTTGAAACACAGGAGTTGCGCAGTCAGCACTGCCAAATCTGTCACATAAGCAGTGTTATATGCAAATTTTTACTAGCAGGAAACTGGCTAGCATGAAATCAGTATTTTCTTGTATTGGCCAATGACACTCACAAACTTACCACACTCATCAGTATGCCACCCAGCATCATGTCATCTACTTTGCGCAGCCCAAGAAACACATTACCTAATCCTGCACCAATGCATTTATGAGCAGCCTGCAACAGTGAGCTAAGCTACAGAAATGACTCATGAATGCTACATAGTTAGTGGCAAAAATTGTGTAACTATGTTGTCTTTCCCCATCCAATGCATCATCAGTACCTGAGGGCAGCATTGCCATTTAGACTTGGCATGGACTGGCAAGTCAGAATGCAGCTATTTGCTTTCTTGACATACTAGGGTTGAAATACTGCTTTGATATCCTTGCAGTCAACAGCATTGGCTGATATGGACTGATGGCTAGGTGGCACAAACAGCCGTGTTCGCACAGTCCAAAGATCATAACGTGAACCAGCCCCAGAGCTGTCATGACAAAAGCAATCTGGGCTCAAAATTCATAACAAATGATTAATTATAGCAACAGCTCAATTATCCACCTCATGGTTTGCAAAGATATGTGTCACAAAAAAGCACCAAGGCAACATATTTACTCACCAGTACAAAAACAGGTAATGATGTGCACTGCAGATGTTCTCTGCACATCATGTGGCATTAGGTTAGGTTTACTTAGTTTATGCACTGTTTTCTTCCACATGAAATGCACAAACCTGGATTTGACAGAGTACTGATGACAGCTAATTTCATCCAGTGCTCACATTTGCGTTCTTGCATTTTGGAACCATCACTGGGCAATTTTGGTCCCATCATTAAAAATAGTTCACATTCTGCACTGACTGCAATGATCTATTGCCTATATTTGTTGATCCTTTGCATCATGCAGGAATTATTGAGTTACCTATCTCACACACATTAAACTGACAAGCAACAAACAGCCTAATTGCATCAAAAACAAATATTCCAGCCCCCACTTCCTTGCCAGTTGGTCTACCAGTGTGACGTAACTTCATATTTCCTTGACAAGCCAGTCACCAATATCCAGCACATCCCTCCTGCCAATAGGTGGTCAACCAAATGTTCAAGTCACAGGAGGAATGTCTGCAAAATCAATCCTGGGGCATTTATGTATTCACCTAATGAAAGAAACTATTGGTACTCCCTGCAAGAATTGTTGAACAGTTGAATTACCTACCTCGTGGCCTGCAGACACCCATCACAAAAAAGCACCAAGGTGACATATTTAATCACCAGCACAAAAACAGGTGATGATATGCAACACAGACGTGTTCTCCATGCAGCATGTGCCATCGTGTTAGGTGTTAGTTTATGCACTGTTTTCCTGCACATGGAACACACAAACTTGGATTTAGCAGAGTAATGATGACAACTATTTCCATCCAGTGTTCACATTTGCTTTCTTGCTGTTTTGACCCCATCATTGGGCGACTTCAGTCCTACCATTAAAAAAGTTCACATTCCGAGCTGAGTGCAATGATCTATATTTGTTCATCCGTCATATCATGCAGCAATTTTTAAGCTACCTTTCTCACACAAATTAAACTGACAAGCAACCAGCATCCTAATTTAAGGAACATCTGCAAAAACACTCCTGGGGACTTAAGGTATTAACTTAATGAACGAAACTTGGATGCATTCTCTGCAAGAATTTTGAGCAATCCAAAAATTAAAATGAGAACAAGTCAAAGCTATATAAAATAACCATATTACCTCCATCTGGCTTTTGGAAGCATGGAGCCTGCCCCAGATGTAAACTAATCTAACTTTTAGGCGGAAAGATAGCACCAAACACCGTCGACGCCTGCTGTCTGCATAGATCAAGCGCCTAGCAAGGCTAAATTACGTGAGCATTTCTGTGCTGCTAGCCACTCAAGGCCCTCAATAATAAGAGTAGTTTTAGCAGCATGATGTCAACTTCACCTTCCTTCTCTTTTCCCTTACCATCTTGGACTTGAACCGTCTCGAGCAATAGCTAAAAACCCGTGGAAAAGCGGTAACACCGCACAAAGCTGAAATGGCTATGAACAGAACTGCGTGCGCCAGGCATTTTTCTTTTTTTTTGTTTAGACAGCTGACGGCCGATAATTCGGACGAAATCCCTTCCTGAACGGATGATCCTCTCACGGGAAGGGATTTCCTCCGGCGCACGATTCGAATCAGCGGAACGGCGCGTGAGTGTATACATGGGCCGGATAGTTCGGATCGAGGACGGGTCCCGGCTTAATTCGAATCACAGCTGCCCATGTAAACAGGGTAAATGTTAAAGGCACAGGTTTTTCTCCATGATTTTAGTGTAAGGCGGCATTGGGCCGCTGGTTGCAGGGAGTTGAGTACTTTGCCTGCTGTCTTGCACTATGCTTGTGTGTGTTGTGTTTCTATAGCTGCAGTTTTGAGGATATGTATGAACCTGGTGGTACAAAATATACCGCATCGTTGTTATTACATGTTGTAAAGCTGATGCATCTCTTCAATTCATCCAGACACTGCTCAGATAACTAGCCTCTTTTTTATTTTTTGTTTGAAATCATTTTGAGGCATGATACATGTGCAGTACAAATGACAGCTAGCAAACATAATGCCATGAATATTTATGTGTAGGACTAGGTTGCAATCTCATCTAATCACACATTATGGTTGTTTTGGGGAATGAATCCCATGTCACATGAATTTTTCATCATCACATCATCATCCTTAGGTATATGAGTGCATATAAGCACATTATGTGATGGATATATAATTTCCCTGAAAGTGATCAGATATGACACTTTTTGTAGCTGTTCCATTGCATGCTTTGTGGTCCAAGCTTCATAACTGGCCTCTTTTTTTATTTTTTGTTTGAAATCATTTTGAGGCATGAGATATGAGCAGTACAAATGACAGCTAGCAAGCATAATGCTGCAAATATTTATGTATAGGCTTGGGTTGCAATCTCAACTGATCACATATTATGGTTGTTTTGGGGAC